AACACAAATATGAATCAATGAGGAAAACACAAGTGGATAAGCATCACGACATAATTCAAGATTTGCCTTTCAAACGATTACCTTGGCATATTTGTCTGCGATTTGAGATACACAACATGAAAATAATGTGATTCACATTATCAACATTTATAATACATACAAAAAATAGATTTGATTGTTCATCCGTGGTTTTCTGTCTAATTAGAGTACCTCTGTGATGAATTCAACTTGTGTCTGATTTCTTTAGATGTCAGAAATGGGCTAATAATAGATAATCAGTATGCATGTCTGTGGAATACCTCAATGAACCAAAAGAATGATTATATGAAGTAAGCCATAATTATGCACAAGTTGAGGTTTGTATATTGTTTCAGGGCATACATGTAACAAGTTTCATTATAATGTGATGATTAATCCTAATTAAATTAGTGGAAAGCTGGAAAGTAAATTATTATGCAAATTAGGTAATTATTATGGATGTGTATAAACCCAAAACTTAATAGAGTGTCATATTATGTCATATATGTCCCACGATTTATTGAATTAAGATAAGTATTGTCAAACACCATCTATGGTACATAAGTTTTATTGAAATTTGATTAGAACAAAACACTTATGAATTATTATACAAATTACTTAATTAATATTATCTCATTTCAACCCAAAGCTAAGCAGGTCTATGCATTATTTTACAGCATCTATGTACTAAGTTTCATTGACAAGTATTTGTGATTGTAATAAGTATTTGTGAGATTAGTGTTAATGCTGAAAATTGGCTAAATATGCAAACTAGGTAAATAATATGCAAATATTTTAACCCCAAAATATTCAGGTATGTACATTGTCCTAGAGCATCTATGTACCCAGTTTCATTGAAAAGTAATAATTAGTAAAGGCGGAAAATAATACAGACCAGGTAATTAATATGCACGTATATAACCCTACCAGGTCGGTGCTATATATGTGAAGTTGTGATGATTAGTACTCGAGATATCAGTGGTAAAGTCACTGCATAATGATTATGCAAATTAAGAAATTAATATGCACGAATTTTGACCCCAAACTAACAAGCATTGATAATGCATAGTCCCCATTAGCTGTAGTCGATGTAAATGTTCAGTACAAGTGACATGTAGAAATGAAAGATGTTTTTTTAACACTAACACATATTATAGATTGTGTTACTGTCAGTATAGTACCTACGTAGAAACTTTGAACTGAATATCTTACAGAGGAAATAGCATGAAAGAAAAACGAAGCCAGGCAGGTATTGTTGTTCAAGTTTCTCCAAAAGATATATGGCTTGCACCATAATCTAATATGTAAGGTCATCCATCATACAAAGTTTGATTGAAAATGCCCTATTCAACTTTGAACTGAATAAGGCCATATCGCTCTGTTCAGCTACAAGAAACAGTTCAGGACATGTTACAGAATGTGAACGTTTTATTTTTGACAAAATGGCCACCATTTGGACAAATTTGATCAAATCTCAGGACAAACATTGTTGTGTCACAGTGAGTCGACCATTTTGGTTCAGATCTCGAAAAAAAAATATACAAAGTTTGATTGAAATCGCCCTGTTCATCTCCAAGAAACAGTTCCGGACATGTTACAGAATGATATTTTACGTTTTCTGGACAAAATGGCCGCCATTCGACAAATTTGATCAAATCTCAAGACAAAACATGTTATTGTGTTACCTTGCAGTATACTACCTATGTACAAACTTCGAATGAATCAAATCAGGCCATATCATTTAAAAAAAATTGGCGTAAAAAAGGAAATAAAAATGGCCGCCAGTCGAATGGCCGCCATCTTTGACCGAATATCAAAAAAATGACGTGCACTTATAACCCAATATGCATGATCACCATACAAAGTTTGATTGAAATTGCCTTACTTAGCACAGAGAAACAGTTCCAGACATGTTACAGACTGATTTTAAGCTATTAATCAAAATGGCCGCCATTTCGACAAATTTGATCAAATCTCAAAGCAAAACATGGTGTTGTGTTATCTTGAACTATAGTACCTACTGTACAAACTTTGAACTGAATCAGGCTATATCTTATGGAGGTATCAGCACGAACACGGAAAAAACAAAATGGCCGCCAGTCGGCCATCTTGGACCGAATCTCGAAAAAAAGTGACGTGCACCTATAACCCAATATGCATGATCACCATACAAAGTTTTATATAAATCATCCTGTTCAGCTCTGAGCAACAGTTCCAGACACGTTTAAATATCCGAATTCAGAAATCAGTCAGCCATATTTAATCGAATCATGACGAAAGTTGGCACACATATGTAGGTCATCATACATTGTCTGTATGCCAAGTTTGAACGAGATCGGTCAAAGGGTGTCCCGTAGCGCTATAGGTCACAGCGTAATTTTGTGGTACCGTAATTTTGTGGTATTGCACTGAGTATTTTCATCCTACCATATTAGGAAAAGCAAATTCCAAATATGGATTGATTACGCGCGTAAGCGTTGCCTAATAATAATAACAAACATGTCTGCCTCCATACTTTTATCAACTCATGTGCGGGTTAAAAATCACACAATTCGGGTAAGAGGGATAATTTAGACTACGATTTAAACTATGGTGTGTTCATGAAACACATTTAAAATATAATTCTGAATTTACAAAATCATTAGTTTTTAGGTTGTCCCCAAAAGGAAAACATTTCAGAATGTCGAAAACGGAATATCTTTATCATAGTGTTCATCATCTTTGTGTAATCTTGTTATATTATCAAAAATAAAGCAACTACATATTAGTGAATCAACCATAATTAGGTCGCAGTGGATGCTGTTTACTCGTATATAAAGAATGGTGTGAATTTTAGTCAATTTAGTGACGACTACGTTCAGTATTTTGTAAATAAATAGTGAATAGAGATGTTGGAAAACATATTGCATGTCTAGATGCTAGATAATCTTATAGATTGCATGTTATGATAAACAGTCTAACCACGGTGAAATGTTTTTTTTTTTGATTTACCTGAACTTCGACTTCAACAAAGCTGCATTAGTTTTTACTTGAACACCATAATTGCCCTTTTCGTAGGCAGGGATATATAGCATCTTATTACCTTGGTTCGGGGTTTAGTCATATAATATAGCGTTTTTCTTTTATCACCAGCAATATCACATACCTACTTATGTTCGTAGCTGACAGAGCACAATTGTTTGCGACTGTCATATAAGGAGATATGAACTACTGGTTGAGTAGTTAAGATAGTTAAAAACAGTGTTATAGTGAAAAGGGTTTGGCCGGTCGGGCTTCAGTGTTTAACCATAACTTTTTAAAACTCATACTTACTTGTGTGGAAATGAATCCCCCCTGTGAATTTCTCTGCGATGTTAACCAAACGACTATTGCATTGCTATATGCAATATTATCAAGTTCCACTTGTGTTAATAAGGCATACGCAGTTGTTTCTACTTCAATTGCTGATGGATTGTGGGTGTACCAATATGGTTTATTTCCATCACCAAAGATTGCTGCGTCTGTTGTCCAGTGTCGAGAATTTGTTTCTGTGTTGAGAAAACATAGTTGATCAGTTTGAATCATGCCTCAAGACAACTTGGAAATCCATAGACAAATAGTGATATGATATGATATGAAATACTGCCCTGTCTTTTTTTGCACACACAATGATGACTAACAAATATAATTCAAGTTCATATTATTCATAGCAATATTTTGTCTGCAATACACTTATGAAAAATATGAATGCATAAATGACTATAACTCTGAATGTGGAGCAGGGTGCGCCAATTCTGTTCGAATCCGTTGACACTATGCCATGTACACGACAAGGTTCATTTATTTTGTACTTAATTTTTTTTCAGTCGTAAACAATATTCATATGTTTGAGTGTTTTATTCCCACTTGGAATATACAATTTATAACATATTTGAAAAATATGAACGACACTAAAGTCAGGTGCCAAACATAGATGAAAATGTTTAGCTTTGGCATTTTGGCAAAGATCAAACGGAACCGAATGTCAATATCACCACAACAAATATTAAGAACATAAGCTAAAATGTTGTTTTCTCCAGAACTTCGAAGGTGGTTGCAGAAAATTTGTGAAAACCATTGAATTAATGAGAACACTCGTGACAAACACTGGTGACACTTTTGGCACAATTGGTTAAATATTAACTTATCATACAGTTTTACTTATATGTTACGATAACATTATAACATTACCTTTATCATATGTAGC